GGGACCTGCTGCGCTGGAACTCCCGGTGCTTGCAGCGGTGGTCCCGTCAGCGGTTGAGCAGGCATCGGCGGCGCGGGAAGTCCCGGTGCAGGAGCAACTTGTTGCTGCGCGGCGTGTGCGTCAAGGAAATTAGCCATTCGAACGTCCATCATTCCCGGCAGACCTTCCATCACATCCTGGAATGCCCGCAACAAGTCTCTCACCGAGTCTTCCAGTTCTGCTAGTCGTTCCCCGGTGGTTTCTTCCGGGATGGGGTCCCGAGGGCGGTAGTCCGGGGGTGGGTCATAGTCCTCTTCCGTTGGGAAGACTCCGGTGCCCTCCTCATCTCCTGCGTGGCCCCGCGGTCCCGACGGCTCGAACATCCACTCCTCGAGGTCCCGCTCGGGGCTCCCCTTCTCCGAGGTAGCCCCCGGCTCCGGGAACAATCCCTTGTCAAATAGACTCTCACGTAATCCGCTCCCCCGACGGGAGTACACCTCACGGGTGCCCTGGGTGTTGTACATAGTCCAATCATCCTGCTGGTGAGTCTTCCGCGGACCCCATTGCGAAGGGGTCGGAGGCGGCCAAGACAGATGTGCAGGCAGGCGGGGAATCGCTCCCCCCACGGCACCCTCCAACGAGGCTGCAGTCGTGAACACCAAAGACGCGGAGGTTTGTGGGACCGATCCAGAGTCCCCCTCCGTGGTAGGTAGGTTTCCCTCAATTCCGCTCATGATCTCGCCAGATTCGGAACGATAGGAAAAAGAGAGTTCTAACAATATGTTGGATCCCCAAGCATCGAGAATAAATCCACGTTTTAAGAAAAGCAAAATTTATTTCAAAGCGTTGACGACATACTCAAACACGTTCTTTGTTAGAACTGGGGATACACAGTTAGATCAAGCATAATAAAGGAACTTCAAAGAGATACAGGTCCAATGAATAACTTTCCCGCTGGCGGGCTAATGGAACGGTTGCGCGCCCAGTCCATGGGAACCAGGCAGAACATCAGACAAAACACAGGTGCAGTACTCATGAGAAAAGCAATAGCCAAGCATTACAGCATCTTCTCCCCCACACAACCTCCAGCAGTTATCTTTTGCATTCCAACGCAGGAGCAGGATGATAGAAACCAAGCCGGGTGCAACAGGGAAGGATATGTACACAGAGGTCACAGAAAACAGAATGGCAGCTTGCTGACATAAGAACAGACACCCTGTGAGGTAGGTGAGGCTGAGAGAGCTCTGACAGAAACTGCTCTTTTTCAAGAACAGCTCTTATCAGAACTACGGCTTGCCCAAGGTCATCCAGCAGCTGCAAGTGGAGGAATGGGGAATCAAACCCGGTTCTCCCAGATTAGAGTCCGCGCACTTAACCACTACGCCAAACTGGATCTCAGTGGTGGAGCATCTGCTTGGTACGCAGAAGGTCCCAGTTTCAATCTCCAGCATCTCCAGTTAAAGGGGATCAAGTAGTCAGTGATGTGGAAGACCCCTAGGAAAAGCTGCTGCCAGTTGGAGTAGACCAGGGCTGTGGCTCAGTGGTGGAACATCTGCTTGGCATGCAGAAGGTCCCAGGTTCAATCCATAGCATCTCATTTAAAAAAAGGTTTGGCAGTGGGTGATGTGAAAGACCTCCGCCTGAGACCCTGGAGAGCCGCTGCCAGTCTGAGTGGACAAGACTGACTTTGATGGACCAAAAGGTCTGATTCAGTATAAGGCTGCTGCATGTGTTCATTTGTGACCATAGTGACCTCGAGAGACTCTGGTCTTACTCTGCGTAAGGCAGCTCCTCTTATGTTCTGACTACTAGAACTCGAGGGCATCCAGTGAAGCTGACGGGCAGTAGGTTCAGGACGGACAAAAGGAAATACTACTTTACACAGATAGGGATTAAAATGTGGAATTTGCTGCCAGAGGAAGTTGTGATGGCCACAGGAATAAACAGCTTTAAAAGGGGATTAGATAGATTCATGGAGGATAAGCCTATCGATGGCTACTAGCCGTGGTGACTGAGGAGAACCTCCATTTTCAGAAGCACTAATCCTCTGAATCCCAGAGACAGGAGGCAACATCAGTCAGCAACATCAGGGGAAGGCCTAGGCTGGTTGGCCACTATGTGAGACAGGATGCTGGACTAGAGGGACCCTCACTGGTCTGATCCAACAGTCCTCTTCTGATGTTCTTATCAGGGGAAGGCTTCGGTCTACTTGCCCTGTGTTTGGCCCTCTGGAGGAACTGGTTGGCCACTATGTGAGACAGGATGCTGGACTAGAGGGACCCTCACTGGTCTGATCCAACAGTCCTCTTCTGATGTTCTTATCAGGGGAAGGCTTCGGTCTACTTGCCCTGTGTTTGGCCCTCTGGAGGAACTGGTTGGCCACTATGTGAGACAGGATGCTGGACTAGAGGGACCCTCACTGGTCTGATCTAGCAGTCCTCTTCTGATCAGGGGAAGGCTTCGGCCTACTTGCCCTGTTGCTGGCCCTCCAGAGGAAGCAGTTGGCCACTGTGTGAGACAGGATGCTGGACTAGATTGACCCTTAATGGTCGGATCCAGCAGGGCTCTTCTCATGTTCTTGTGAAGGCCTCGGCCTCTTACCCCTGTTGTTGGCCCTCCAGAGGAACCAGTTGGTAGCTGTGTGAGACAGGATGCTGGACTAGATGGACCACTGGGCTGATCCAGCAGGGCTCTTCTGGTGTTCTTATGAAGGCCTCAGCCTCTCTGCCCTGTTGTTGGCCCTCTAGAGGAACTGATTGGTCCCTGTGTGAGACAGGAGGCTGGACTAGATGGAAGCTCACTGGTCTGGTCCAGCAGGGCTCTTCTGATGTTCTTATGAAGGCCTCGGCCTCTATGCCCTATTGTTGGCCCTCCAGAGGAACTGATTGGCCCCTTTGTGAGGCAGGAGGCTGGACTGGATGGACCCCTGGTCTGATCCAGCAGGGCTCCTCTGATGTTCTTATGAAGGCCTCGGCCTCTCTGCCCTGTTGTTGGCCCTCCAGAATAACTGGTTGGCCACTTTGTGAGACAGGATGCTGGACTAGATGGACCACTGGTCTGAATCAGCAGGGCTCTCGTTATGTTCTTAGGTGTCTGTACATGGATAGGGAGAAGGGGCGGCATTTGTCTCCGCTGACCCATACAGAACGGGCCAACTGACTGACCCATTCTTCCAGCACTGGTCTTCTTGGTAGACTGATCCATAGACCAATCGCCAGTCCCTCCACAGCCTCGTTAGCCCGGCTGCGTCCTCACAGATAGTTGTCTTCGTCGTCAGTATCGTCTCCGTCCTCCTCGTCCTCCTCGTTCCGTGCCAGGGCCTCGATGTCGTGGGTGATGTCCGTAATCATGCGGTTGAAGGACTCCGAATCGGAGCGCAGCGACCAGCTGTCGTAGCTGCGCACGGCCGAGGCGGAGGTATTGCTCATGCTCCGCTTGATGCGCCCGAAGCTGTCCGTCAGAATCCCTCCCTCGCGGATGCCGATGTTCTCCAGGAAGCTCTCAAAGTAGCCAATGTCCTGATCGGGAATGAACGGCCGCATACCTGGAGAGAAAGGAGCGGGGTGGGAGAAAGAGGTGAGGAAGAGAGGTAGGGGCAGGGGTCATTTTCTGCGGGAGTGCACAGGAGCGGAACTCCGGCAGTAAAGAGCCCAGGGGGCGGGCACATGGAACAAGCCCCATCCCTTGCTCCCAGCAGCAGAAGAAGAAGAGATTGGATTTATACCCCGCCCTTCACTTGGAGTCTCAGAGCGGCTTACAAACTCCTTTCCCCTCCCCTCCCCACAACAGACACCCTGTGAGGTGGGTGGGGCTGAGAGAGCTCTGACACAAACTGCTCTTTCAGGAACAGCTGTGCCAGAGCTTGTGACTGACCCAAGGTCACATCAGCAGGTGCAAGTGGAGGAGTGGGGAATCAAACCCGGTTCTCCCAGATTAGAGTCCGCGCACTTAACCACTACACCAAACCCTCAGTCAGAGAAAGAAGCAGCCAGGTAAGCTGCAGAGCCCCCCCCCCCGAGCCCCGGTCCAAAACAGTCCAGTGGCACCTTTAAGACTGTGGGGTAGGTGGGGCTGAGAGCTTTTTCCAGAACTACTTGTGAGAGAACAGCTCTGAGAGAACTGTGGCTTGCCCAAGGTCACCCGACAGCTGCATATGGAGGAGTGGGGAGTCAAACCCGGTTCTCTCAGATTAGAGTCCGCTGCTCTTAACCACTACACCAAACTGGCTGATACCGTTCCTGGTGCCCACCAAGTGTTTTTACAAAGTGGGTGGGACCAGGTGGGACTGTAGCCCAGCAAGGCTTCTGATTGGCCACTGGAGAGTTGATTGGCAGTGCAGATTTTTTAAAAAATGTTGCTTTGGCGGCAGCTGCCACCACGGCATGAGGATCTTCACTGGGTGACTGAGGGTGAGTTGTGGCGGCCATTTTGTGCCCGTCTCCGCCTTCTGTGCATGGGGCTGACCTGGCACAAGGAGGCTGCTCCCTCCCGCCCCCCAGGAGATTCTGTGTGTTTACCCAAGAGAAGGAACTTCCGCTTGTCTCCGTAGAGCTGGAGAAGGCCGGCGCAATAGGCCTCAACCGCCAGGCCCATCCGGTATTCGCGGAGCAACAAGGCAAACTGCTGGATTTCCTGTGGGGTCAGCTTGTTTCTCAGCTGTGAGCAGAGAGGGAGAGGAAGGTTAAAAGACAGGGTGTCAAAAGCCAGAAGCAGGGGGCTGTAGGGTTGCCAAGCTCCAGATGGCGGCTGGAGATCTTCCGGAATCACAACTAGTCTCCAGACTACAGACTTCAGTTCCACGGAGAAAATGGCTGTTTGGAGGGAAATGCTGGTCGCCCCTTTGGGGTCAGGAAGCAATTTTTCTCCAGGCCAGTTTTATGTATGTATGTATGTATGTATGTATGTATGCCCTCTGCCCTTCCCGCAAGCGGGCTCAGGGCGGATCACAAACACAATATCTGGAACATATCAAAAAATTCAATACATATTAAATATAATGCAATGAAGATAGTTTAAGAACAGCATAGATTAAAACATAACACAGTATTTATCCTTGTGCGGAGATTTCCACCTTGGCGCCATTGGTCTCTAGATCTTCCAGAGTTTGGCTGGAGATCCCAGAGGGGGGTTTTTTTGGTCACCTTATGGGCATGGAGCAGGAGTCACGGTGTGTGTGTGGAGGGAGGTATTTGTGATTTCCTGCCTTGTGCAGGGGGTTGGACTAGATTACCTCGGAGGTCCCTTCCAACTCCAGGATTCTAAGAAGAAGAAGAGGAGGAGGAGGAGATTGGATTTATCCCCCGCCCTTCACTACCCAAAGGTGTCTCAGAGCAGCTTACAAACTCCTTTCCCTTCCCCTCCCCACAGCAGACACCCTGAGAGGCAGTTGGGGCTGAGAGAGCTCTTGACAGAAACTGCTCTTTTTCAAGAACACCTCGTATCAGGCCCACGGCTTGCCCAAGGTCATCCAGCCAGATGCAAGTGGAGGAGTGGGGAATCAAATCTGGTTCTCCCAGATTAGAGTCCGCGCATTTAAGCAGAAGAAGAAGAAGAGATTGGATTTATACCCCGCCCTGCACTACCCAAAGTTGTCTCGGAGTGGCTTACAAACTCCTTTCCCTTCCCCTCCCCACAGCAGACACCCTGTGAGGTAGGTGGGGCTGAAAGAGCTCTGACAGAAAGGGCTATTTTTCAAGGACAGCTCTTGTCAGAACTATGGCTTGCCCAAGGTCATCCAGCCAGGTGAAAGTGGAGGAGTGGGGAATCAAACCCGGTTCTCCCAGATTAGAGTCCGCGCACTGAAGAAGAAGAAATTGGATTTATACCCCGCCCTTCACTACCCAAAGGAGTCTCAGAGCGGCTTACAAACTCCTTTCCCTTCCCCTCCCCACAACAGACACCCTGTGAGGTAGGCGGGGCTGAGAGAGCTCTGACACAAACTGCTCTTTTTCAAGGACAGCTCTGACAGAACTATGGCTTGCCCAAGGTCATCCAGCCAGGTGAAAGTGGAGGAGTGGGGAATCAAACCCGGTTCTCCCAGATTAGAGTCCGCGCACTTAACCACGACACCAAACTGGCTCCCCACAGCTGGCAACCCTAAGAAAAGCCCCCTGCCTCCCTTGTGGACTTTCCAAAGCAACATCTCAATTAGTGCCAATCCTTTGACATCATGGCACCAGTTCAGAAGTGGGTTGATCAAAATGGCATTGGAGGCAGCAGTTCCTGAACAGCTTGGAGGAGGACCTCCCAATGAATGGGAAAGCACAAATGAACACATGAAGCTGCCTTCTACTGAATCAGGCCATCAGGCCATCAAGGTCAGTATTGCCTACTCAGACTGGCAGCGGCTCCCCAGGGTCTCAGGCAGAGGTCTTTCTCATCACCTGCTTCCTGTTCCTTTAACTGGAGGTGCTGGGGATTGAACCTGGGACCTTCTGCATGCCAAGCAGAGAAAAAGAAGAAGAGATTGGATTTATACTCCGCCCTTCACTACCCCAAGGAGTCTCAGAGTGGCTTATATACTCCTTTCCCTTCCCCTCCCCACAACAGACACCCTGTGAGGTCGGTCGGGCTGAGAGAACAGCTCTGAAAGAACTGTGGCTTGCCCAAGGTCATCCAGCCAGGTGCAAGTGGAGGAGGAGGGAAGCAAACCCAGTTCTCCGAGATTAGAGTCCGTGCACTTAAGAAGAAGAAGAAGAGATTGGATTTATACTCCGCCCTTCACTACCCCAAGGAGTCTCAGAGTGGCTTATATACTCCTTTCCCTTCCCCTCCCCACAACAGACACCCTGTGAGGTCGGTCGGGCTGAGAGAACAGCTCTGAAAGAACTGTGGCTTGCCCAAGGTCATCCAGCCAGGTGCAAGTGGAGGAGGAGGGAAGCAAACCCAGTTCTCCGAGATTAGAGTCCGTGCACTTAACCACGACACCAAACTGGCAGGGGCTCTTCCACTGAGCCACAGCCCCTCCCCATCAAACAGATCATGGAGAGAACGGCCTCTTGGTTACACCTCCCCCAGAGCTGGAAAGGGGCAGCTATCACAGAGTACTGCACAAAAGCAGTCATCCACACAACCAAGGGTGCACTTTCGTGTTGCCCAATTATCACAGAATATGAGCTAAAAGGGAAAAGCAGAAACACAGCTCTGAAGGAATGGGAAAACGGCAGATTGTGCACAACACCGTATGGAATTTCTGCAATATGGCAGGAATTAGAGCACAGTTCCCCAGTGTTGAACCAAGCTGGTACGTGGGGAGCATTCAAACACAAGCCTCCCCCCGCAGCAGTCTGGAATAGTACAACCAACAAGAGCTGCCTTCCCTGATTGTTATGAACATGTGCAGGAGCCACAATAGTTCTGTGTAGGGATGGGCACAAACCACATTTTTGCAGTTCAGTTCGTGGCTGAACCACGAACTGATACTCCGGTTCGGGAAACTAACTGGTTTGCATCGGTTCGTGAGCCATTTAAAGTTTAGCCCCCTGCTTTCTACTGGGAGCTGAAAGCAGTGGTTTCAATGGCTTCGAGTCATTGAAACCAAACAGCTGAACTATTTTTCTTCATGAACCGCCACAAACTTTGTTATGTCTTCACTGTATTAACTTACATGTTAAGCTTGAGACCTTAGCCAGGATTCTAAGCTGGAACAATCCTATTGGCTAATGTGTAATTGGAACCAATCAGAAGTCAGAGAACTGTGCTGGAGGGAACAAACCTGATTGGTTGTTATCTTTACAATACTATTGGTCCTTAACTATTCTAGGGCGTGGCTACACCAGCCCGGAATAGTTTAAAAGGGAGCTATGCTCCACTGTTGTGTTGTTGTGTGTTCTTCTGATGTTCCTGTTATTAATAAAGCTGATTTCACTGTTACTTACGTCTCGACTCGGCGTGGAGTTTAATACGTAACAAACTTCATAATAATTTGTGGAAGTTCATATGGCTTACCATCCGTCAGAAATTCATGGGAGCACAAACCAAACAAGATCATGGAGAATGAGAGAAAGATTCTTTGGAACTTCCAGTTACAAACAGATAAACCTCTGGAGCATAACACCCTTGATATCAAAATTGAAGCGGGGGGGAATGAGAAATAGGGTTTAGATCATAGACATTGCAATCCTAGGAGACAGCAGAATAGAAAAGGAAGAACAGGAGAAGACCATGAAATACCAAGACCTACAAATAGAGTTAGAGTGTCTCTGGGAGACGAAGGTTTATCATCGTGCCAGTTGTCTGGACATTCTGGGCTTTAAGCAAATAACACCAGCTCAGCTCCAGAAGACAGTGTTGCTTGGAACTGCAAGAATTCTGTGAAGATACATCTGCACTTCCCAAGAACTTGGATTGATCTTGAAATGCAGAACACCATCTACTAGTCCGATATCTGACTGTGACAATATAATCATCATCGTCATCTTACAAGGGTGCTCGACTGACGGCTGAGATAATGTTTGAAATGCGTTATATTCACGCCAAGTGAGTGACCCAAAGCAAATTACTACCAAGGGAAGTCACAAACATGTTTGTGCATGTACCAATGCCGCCCCGCCGCCCTCCGACTCACCGTGATCATGTACTCCTGCAGCTGTTCCAGCCCAGTGCTGCTTTGGTCGCTCCCGCTGCAGGCTGTCGCGAGGCTGTGGTGCGACTGGCGAAATGAGGGGGAAGAACCGCCGCTGCGGTAGGCCTCAAAGGTTTCGTGGGAGCCGTCACTGTGCGAAGAAGGAAGAGGGTGAGCAACGGTGCCCAGATCTAGCCTGGCATCCATTTTGGCTAACGGGAAGCTGCCTCCTCATGGCTTCATTTCTCGAAGCTGAGATGCCGGAGGGATCGTGGGAATTTGCTCCCTCTGGTTTGGGAAGGACAAGGGCCTGGAGACCAGCAGTTCAGCATCTGCTGTGTATGCAGACAGTCCTGAGTTTGAGCCCCAATGTCTCCAATCAAAGATAACCTTGGGTAACTCGTAGGGTTGCAAACCTCCAGTTGAGACCAGGAGACGTCCCAGGATTACAACTGGTGTAGTGGTTAGGAGCATGGACTCTAATCTAGGAGAACCAGATTTGATTCCCCACACCTCTACATGCAGCTGCTGGTGTGACCTTGGGTCAGTCACAAGTTCTCTCGGAGCTGTTCTCCCAAGAGCAGTCCTCGAAAGAGCTCTCTCCGCCCCACCTGCCTCACAGGCAGGGTTCCCTCTAAGATGAGTTAGTTAGAGCTAGCTCACAGTTTTTTAGCCTCCGGCTCACACATTTTTGTCTTAGCTTACGAAGGAGGGCTCCAGAGCAAACTAATTTATGCAGCAGCCAAAATCTCCTGCTCACAACTTTAATGCCAATAGCTCACAAAGTAGATTTTTTGCTCACAGGGCTCCATAGCTTAGAGGGAACATTGCTCACAGGGTGTCTGTTGTGGGGAGGGGAAGGGAAAGGAAATTTAAGCCACTCTGAGACTCCTTTGGATAGTGAAGGGCGGGGTATAAATCCAATCTCTTCTCCTCTTCTTGGGCGGAGCCAGTTTGGTGTAGTGGTGAAGTGCGCGAACTCTGATCTGGGAGAACCGGGTTTGATTCCCCGCTCCTCCACATGCAGCTGCTGGTGTGACCCTGGGTCAGTCACAAGTTCTCTCAGAGCTGTTCTCTCAAGAACAGTCCTCAAGAGAGCTCTCTCCGCCCCACCTACCTCACAGGGTGTCTGTTGCGGGGAGGGGAAGGGAAAGGGAATTGTAGACCACTCTGAGACTCCTTTGGGTAGTGAAAGGCCATGGGATATAAAGCTAATCTCCTCTCCTCTAGGGCACATGGAAAATGGCTGCTTTAAAGGGCGCACACCATGGCATTAATACCCTACTGAGATCTCTCCCCTTCTGAAACCCTGCCCTCCTCAGGCCCAAATCTCCAGGAATTTCCCAAACCAAAGTTGACAACTGTAATAACTGAGGTTACTGGCAACGGTAATAACTTCCAGGTGTCACCAGGGGACATCCCTGAATTACTATTGATCTCCAGGCAACAGAGTTCAGTTCCCTTGGAGGAAATGGCTGCTTTGGAGGGTGGACTGTAATTATGACTGTATGACAACATCTGAAGAGGCCCCTCCCCTCCCCAAACCCCGCCCTCCTCAGGCTCCACCCCAAAATCTCCAGGACTTTCCCAACCCTGAGCTGGCAACCCTAGGAACAGATGTTGGGACAGACCCTCCTTGGATACCCTGCAGAGCCAGTGCCAGTCGAAACGGGCAAAAACAAGCTAGGGCGGCCAGTTTGGTGTAGTGGTTAGGAGTGCGGACTCTAGTCTGGGAGAACCGGGTTTGAGTCCTGGCTCCTCCACATGCAGCCGCTGGTGTGACCTTGGGTCCATCACAAGTTCTCTCAGAGCTGTTCTTGAAAAACAGCAGTTTCTGTCAGAGCTCTCTCAGCCCCGCCTACCTCCCAGGGTGTCTGTTGTGGGGAGGGGGAGGGACAGGAGTTTGTAAGCCGCTTTGAGACTCCTCTGGGTTGTGAAGGGCGGGGTATGAATCCAATCTCTTCTTTTTCTTCTCTGCCACTGAGTGGACTCTAATCTGGGAGAACTGGGTTTGGTTCCCCACTCCTCCACTTGCACCTGGATGGATGACCTTGGGCAAGCCATAGTTCTGAGAAGAGCTGTTCTTGAAAAAGAGCAGTTTCTGTCCGAGCTCTCTCAGTCTCACCTACCTCACAGGGTGTCTGTTGTGGGGAGGGGAAGGGAAAGGAGTTTGTAAGCCGCTCTGAGACACCTTTGGGTAGTGAAGGGCAGGGTATAAATCCAATCTCTTCTTCTTCTCTTAGATGTTGCAGTAGAGATGATGGTACTTTTTTTAAAAAAAGAAAGGGTTTCTGATTATTTAGGGGTGCTTTTTTAATAGAAGAAACGGGTTTTTACTGTTGGAAATATGTGTGTTGCAAGATCTAAAATTCAGTCAGCATAGGGTTAATGTGTGTTTACCTTGTGTGCTGTTGTTTAGACTGACCTGGAAGGAAACCTGGCAGAAAGCCAATGGGAAGAAAGCCCGGGAAACTGACGCCTATTTACTAACAATCATTGGTTAATGCAGCCAGGTGATTTCCTTCTAGGGGCCAAGAAGAACAATCTCCATTGTTGTAGACCCTGTGGTCAAAGTGTAAAGATGTGGTCTTAGGTGTCTTTCTAGGGGTCAAGAAGAAGAACAATCTCCATTGTTGTAGACCCTGTGGTCAAAGTGTAAAGATGTGGTCTTAGGTGTCTTTGTTGTTTTGTAGATTCCCTGTGAACTCTTCCCTTAGAAAGAAAGATTCTTACATAGAAGAAAATGCCTCCAGTGAAGCAAAGATCCATTGCAATCTCTGAATATTAAATTATTTTGCCATTTCCCCCCCAACATTTACAACTAATGCAAGCAATTAATTAACTACTGGGTGGTGCTGGAAGGTGCTATTGAGATGTGGCCAACCCCTTGGAGTTTTCAAGAGAATACACATTCAGAGGTGGTTTTGCCCTTGCCTGCCTCTACGTCATGATCCTGGCGTTCCTTAGAGGTCTCCCATCCGAGCACTAACCAGGGCCGACCCTGCTTAGCTTCCAAGATCTGACAAGACTGGGCTAGTCAGTTTGGTGTAGTGGTTAAGTGCACGGACTCTAATCTGGGGGAACCGGGTTTGATTCCCCACTCCTCCACTTGCACCTGGCTGGATGACCTTGGGTCAGTCACAAGCTCTGGCACAGCTGTCCTTGAAAAAGAGCAGTTTGTGTCAGAGCTCTCTCAGCCCCACCCACCTCACAGGGTGTCTGTTGTGGGGAGGGGAAGGGAGTTTGTAAGCCGCTCTGAGACTCCAAGTGAAGGGCGGGGTGTAAATCCAATCTCTTCTTCTTCTTCTAATCTGGGAGAACCGGGTTTGATTCCCCACTCCTCCACTTGCACCTGCTGATGTGACCTTGGGTCAGTCACAAGCTCTGGCACAGCTGTCCTTGAAAAAGAGCAGTTTGTGTCAGAGCTCTCTCAGCCCCACCTACCTCACAGGGTGTCTGTTGTGGGGAGGGGAAGGGAAAGGAGTTTGTAAGCCACTCTGAGACTCCAAGTGAAGGGCGGGGTATAAATCCAATCTCTTCTCTTCTTCCTCTTCTTCTAGCCTGGGCCATCCAACACAGGGTGCTACAAGCTTAACACAGGTTCTGATTTATCCCGGGGGACTGTGGGAATTGTAGTGTCATCAGGCTGCCGAGAACGCTGCAAGAGTCCCCCAGCTCTTCCCAGAGCGACACCTGCCAGGCTGCCTTTGGCAAGGAGGCCGTGATGGTTGAAACCCGTCCAGTCACTGTGCAGTGCAGACGCGCCGTTTGTTCCTGGCGGGACTTACAAGGAGCTGCAGCAGCTGAAATCGGCGTCGTAGGCGTATGTCCCATCTGTCCGGCAGCTCTCGCCTGGGAACGACAAGGCAGGAGGGAAGGATGAGAATAAACAGATGCACCAACAAGGCCTCTGTTCTGCCCACCCACCGGCGCCCTTCCAAGAGCCCTGTTCTCCATCGACAGCAAAGCAAAAACCATCACCCAACTTGTGGTCAGCCACCTGCTTGAAATACTTCCCCCATCAACCCCAGGTTTGGGCTGGTTGTAGAGTTACCAGGTCTGGGTTGGGAAATACCTGGAGACTTTGGGGGTGGAGCCAGGAGAGGGAGGGGTTTGGGGAGGGGAGGGGCCTCAGCATGGTCCAATGCCACGGAGTCCACCCTTCACAGTAGCCATTTTCTCCAGGGGAGCTGCTCTCTGTCGTCTGGAGACCAGTTGTAAAACCTGGAGATCTCCAGGTCCCACCTGGAGGCTGGCCACCCTAGGTTTTTGAGACAGGACGACTTTCCTCCACAGGAACAGTCGGGACAGGTTGTTTTCTTTACAGTAAAGTTTTGAGCCGCTGAGCAGCATGTGATCGTGACTGTGCATCACGGCCCTTTTTGTAACGCCGACAACTTCACACAGGTCCCCACATTCTGGAATGGAGTGATTTCAGATGCCGAATGACATTACCAGGCAACTGACAATTTGTTGTTGTTCAGTTGCGCGGTTGAGTCCGACTCTCCGCGGCCCCACGGACCACCTCACGCCAGGCCCTCCTGTTTGGTGTAGTGGTTAGGAGCGCGGACTCTAATCTGGGAGAACTGGGTTTGATTCCCCACTCTTCCACTTGCAGCTGCTGGTGTGACCTTGGGTCAATCACAAGTTCTCTCAGAGCTGCTCTCTCACGAGCAGTTCTCAGGAGAGCTCTCTCAGCCCCACCTACCTCACAGGGTGTCTGTTGTGGGGAGGGGAAGGGAAAGGAGATTGTAGACCACTCTGAGACTCCTTTGGATAGTGAAAGGCCATGGGGTATAAAGCTAATCACCTCTCCTCTAGGGCACAGGGGAAATGGCTGCTTTAAAGGGCACACACCATGGCATTAATACCCTACTGAGATCTCTCCCCTTCTGAAACCCTGCCCTCCTCAGGCCCAGGAGTTTGTAGGTCGCTCTGAGACTCCCTTGGGTAGTGAAGGGCGGGGTATAAATCCAATCTCCTCCTCCTCCTCTTCTTCTTCTTCCATTGTGCTCTGGAGTTCGCTCAACTTCATGTTCGTTGCATCTGTGACACTGTCTGACCATCTCAGCCTTTGCCATCCCCTTCTTCTTTGACCTTCAACCTTTCCCAGCATCAGGGTCTTCTCCAGGGAGTGCTCCCTTCTCATTGGGTGGCCGAAGTATTTGAACTTCAGCTTCAGTATCTGGCCTTCCAGGGAACAGTCAGGGTTGATTTCTTTTAGGATTGACCGATTCGATCTCCTTGCAGTCCAAGGGACTCTCAAGAGTCTTCTCCAGCACCATAATTCGAAAACATCTATTCTTCGGCACTCGGCCTTATGGTCCAACTCTCGCAGCCATACATTACTACTGGGGAAACCATTGCTTTAACCATACGGGCTTTTGTTGGCAGGATGATGTCTGGACGTTTTATTATGCTGTCAAGGTTTGCCATGTTCTATAATCTGCATCCTGATCGCTCGTGTAGAGGTCCCTACATAATATTTAGGACATGGACATTATATGAGATACGCTACTCTTTTTGTTGCACAGTTTGTAAATTGTTTCAGTTGTATATGTACCTTTAATTCTGGAAAATCTAATCATGCTGTTTCCCAAACTAGTGGACATACAGAACACCTGCCACAATGATAATTTCCAGGTGTTGCTGATACTGAGTGGCTACGTGGGGAAACATCATAGAATCATAGAATGTTAGAGTTGGAAGGGACCTTGCAGGTCATCTAGTCCAACCCCCTGCACTCTGCAGGAGTATAGCCGAAAGAGAGCCCTACAACATACCCAAAAGAGGGTTGTCCAGCCTCCGCTTGAAAACGTCCAGCGAAGGAGCACCCACCACCTCTCGAGGCAGACTGTTCCACTGCTCAACCACTCTGACAGTCAGGAAGTTTCTCCTGATAGTTATTGACTCCCTTGTAATTTCCACCCATTAGATCTAGCCTTACAATCCGGAGCAAGAGAGAATAGATCCGCTCCATCTTCTACATGACGGCCCTTCAAATATTGGAAGACTGCAATAATGTCCCCTTCCCCCTTTCCACTTCTCTTTCTCAGGCTAAACAGACCCAACTCTTTCAGCCTTTCCTCGTAAGACTTGGATTCCAACCCTCTCGCCATCCTGGTTGCCCTCTTCTGGACACGCTCAAGTTTGTCAGCATCCTTCCTAAAACGTGGTGCCCAAACGTGGACACGGTACTCCAGGTGAGGCCTGACCATCGCAGGACAGAGCGGAACGGCCACCTCCTGTGATCTGGACACAAGGCTTCTGTTAATGCATCCCAAGATTGCATTAGCTTTCTTCGCAGCCACATCGCACTGCAGGCTCATGTTTAGCTTGTGATCAACCAGAACACCTAGATCCCTTTCACATGTGCTGCTGTCAAGCCAAGTCCCTCCCATTCTATATCTGTGCCTTTGATTTTTTCATGCCTAAGTGTAGGACTTTGCACTTCTCTCTATTGCAATTCATTTTCTTTGTCTCAGCCCACTACTCCGGCCTATCTAGATCATTTTGAGTCCATCTGGATCTACATCCTGTCTTAGAATTCTGAAGATGCCCACAGGCTCAAAAAAGTTGGGGACCCCCACTTAGGGTCAATATATGTCTGCTTCACAGTCACAGGTGTACTCACTGCGGCTGGACAACCAAGGACGCTTTGGAGTGGATGTGTAATGGTAGCCGGCCCGGTCCACACACTCAATGGTCTGGTCCCCGTAGATGATCTGGAAAACCTGGCAGATGAGAGCGCAGGACTCCTCGGCTGTGTCCTGGACCCCGGGAAGAAAAGAGCAGTCAGACCCCTCTGGGAACTGCTTTACTGCAACCATAGGTGTTATGTATTTGCTTCATTACATTGCTTAAAGTAAACTAGCTGGAGCTTCAGCCACAAGCTCCATTGACTCCTGGTATCCTGAAATCTGCAACTGGATTGGTCAGTGTCGGGAGACAGACCAATCAGGTGTCAGCGCCGCTGCCATATTGTTTATAGCCTAAGGTTTGCCTGCATGAGCTGTGTACATTGTGATGCCACATTCTTTTCCCCTCGCTTCCCAGCCTCGGCTATGTTGAGACGCCTATTATTCATTCCCCCCCCCCCCCGGGCCGGGGGGCCCCCCAGGACTCCAGAAGCCCTCCCACTGTTCCCCCCCTAAGCGCCCAAGAATACAGAGCATCACTGCCCCGGACACAAGAACATAAGAGAAGCCATGTTAGATCAGGACAGTGGCCCATCCAGTCAATTCAATTCAAAACCTTTATTGGCATGGATCAGAGTCATAAACAGTCACCCTTCAGTTCATTGATTTAACACATAGCTTCCTCATTATAAGGCAGTTACAGAAATTAGCCACCGCTTCAATAACCACTGTATTTTGTGAAGCCAATAAACGGTACAACATTCTGTCATCTGATTGTTTGACATCTTTCTTAAGTATGGCTTCTAGATAGACTGCCCGAATGTCATCATACAAACTACAGTGGAGGAATACGTGTTCGATTGTTTCAATCTCCTCTGAATCACAATCACAAAACCTAACAGAGTAGGGGATTTTCTTAAATCTTCCTGCTAAAACCGCAGAGGGGAGCACGTTAAAGCGGGCCAGCACGTTAAAGCGCAGCTGTGGAGAAGTCAAATCCGATAAGTATTGTGCAGGGGTGTTGATGATCGGAAAACGTGCCCATCTTAAAGGGGAGCATCTACCAGAAGCCAAGGCTCTAAGCTCTTGCATCTCAATATCAATTAATCTCTGTTTGAGCAGGGCAAAGATGTGTACTTCAGATAAGGACATCATATCATTCCTGCATCCATAGTACTGACCAGGGGTCATTTCCTGCAGGAGCGCACAGGAGCGGAACTCCGGCAGTAAAGAGCCCAGGGGGCGGGCACATGCAACAAGCCCCACCCCCTGCTCCCAGCAGCCCTCAGTCAGAGCAAGAAGCAGCCAGGTAAGTTGCCGCGGCCCCCCCAACCCTCCGGCCCAGAACAGTCCAGTGGCACCTTTAAGACCAAGTTTTATTCAGGTACAAGCTCTTCCTCCTCTGCGAGGACAGATCTGCACGTTCCCCTCCCCCCAATAGCTAGCAATCCAAAACAGTCCAGTGGTGCCTGAGCGGTGGGTGTTGCCTTCTGACACACTTCCGGTGATGTCAGGGGGTGTGGCATATGCAAATGAGTTACACTAATGAGTTATGCTAATGAGCTCCTGCACCTCTTTTTCTACAAAATGACCCATGGTACTGACAATAAAGTATAACCTTCTTGGAAGCGTGTGCTCCGTCGTTTGACTGTGGGTCCTGGCATCAGGACAGTTTCTGACATTTGGCAGGAACAACTCCTATTGGTCCCCCAGCACTTGTTATTGATTGGACATTACTGTTCTAGGGGTGTGTGGTTTTCCCTGGTTTAAAATGCATAAAGTTGCATCGTTCTATGAGTCTTGTTGTTGTGTTGCTGTGTTCTGAGCTGAATAAAGAAATCAGTTGTTTAAGAAACACTGCCTCAATCTCAGTATATAACAATAGGGTTGCCAGTTCTCCAGGTGGGGCCTGGAGATCTCCCAGGATTACAACTTATCTCCAGACTACGGAGATCAGTCCACCTGGAGAAAGTGGACGCTTTGGTAAGTGGACTCTATGGCATTACAGCCTGCTGAGGTCTCCGCCTTCCCAAGACCTTCCCGTCCCCGGATCCACCCCCTTAATATCCAGGGATTTCCCAACCTGAGTTGGCAAACCTAGCGAATTATGGTCTAGGGGGGCACATCCAGGGGCTCATGCCGATGAACCGTATGTTAGGAGTACTGGCCAATGGGTAGGGTTGCCATCTTCGGGTTGGAAAATTTCTGGAGATTTGTGGGTGAAGACGGGAAGGCAGGGCTTGTGGAGGTGAGAGACCTCAGCATTCTGGCCCCACTGGTGGACCTCCTGATGGCACCTGGGTTTTGGCCACTGTTTGACACAGAGTGCTGGACTGGATGGGCCATTGGCCTGATCCGGCCCCCGGGCCGCATGTTTGACACCCCAGGATCTTGGCTGATCCTGCATTGAACAGGGGGTTGGACTGGATGCCCTCTATGGCCCCTCCCAGCTCTGTGATCCCCTGATTCTATGACTTACCCTGTTAGTCACCGCCAGGATGACGAGGTTGCAGTAGGCTTCCGGGCTCGGCTTCTTCGGGTCCAGGGGGTTGTCCCCCGTGTTCCTCCGCTCCCAGCTGCCGCAGGCCTTGCCTCGCTCCCAGCTCCCGCTGTAGGCCTGACGGTGCTCCCAGCTGCCCCCGGGCTTCCCCGCCCGCCGGCACTCCCAGCTGCCCCCGCCTTTGCCGGCCGGGTGGCACTCCCAGCTCCCGCTGTAGGTCTGCCGGCGCTCCCAGCTCCCAAAGGGCCTGACCCCGCCCCCCTGCCTCTTCTCCCAGCTCCCGCCACCCTGCTTCCTCTCCAGGCTGCCCCCGCCTCCGCTGGGCCTCCCCTCCTGCCCACCCCGGGACATTTTCCAGTCCAGGCTGCAGATGGTGTGGCGCCGCTCCGTGGTGGCCCCCGGCTGCCTGGGCTCCACCGGCCTCTTTTCAGAGGGCCCCCCGGGGAATTTCTTCTCCTGCGTGCTTCCGGGATAAGAGTCCAGACTGCCCCCTGCGGGCACCGGGTCGACTCCCAAGCCTGGAAATATGGGGGGAAAGACCAGTGATCAGTAATCTCTACGGACCAGAGGACAATGTGTGAAAGTCTGCCTTTCCCAATGAAGAGTCAAAAGGAGCTGCTCAAATAATTGGAAGCTCATAGCCCCCAAATTCTGTTGGTCTCTCAAGTGCTATTGGACTTGACCAGGGTCACTATGTGGAGGCAGGCAGTGGTAAATCACCTCCCTGGTGGACTTCCTGATGGCACCTGGGATATAGCCCCTGTCTGACAAAGAGCGTTGGACTGGATGGGCCATTGGCATGATCCGGTATTCTTGGTGCTTGGAGGGGCAGCAGTGGGAGGGCTTCTGGAGTTCTGGCCCCAGTGGTGGACCTCCTGATGACACCTGGGTTTTGGCCACTGTGTGACACAGAGTGTTGGACTGGAGGGGCCATTGGCCTGATCCAACATTGGCTTCTCTTACGTTCTTATGCCTGGGGCAGTGATAATCTGTCTTCTTGGTGCTTGGGGGGCCACAGTGGGAGGGCTTCTGGAGTTCTGGACCCACTGGTGGACCTCCTAGTGGCACCTGGGTTTTGGCCCCTGTGTGACACAGAGTGTTGGACTAGATGAGCCATTGGCCTGATCCAACATTGGCTTCTCTTATGTTTTTATGCCTGGGGCAGTGATAATCTGTCTTCTTGGTGCTTGGGGGGCCACAGTGGGAGGGCTTCTGGAGTTCTGGACCCACTGGTGGACCTCCTAGTGGCACCTGGGTTTTGGCCCCTGTGTGACACAGAACGTTGGACTGGATGGGCCATTGGCCTGATCCAACATGGCTTCTCTTATGTTCTTATGCCTGGGGCAGTAATAATCTGTCTTCTTGGTGGTTGGGGGGCCACAGTGGGAGGGCTTCTGGAGTTCTGGACCCACTGGTGGACCTCCTAGTGGCACCTGGGTTTTGGCCCCTGTGTGACACAGAACGTTGGACTGGATGGGCCATTGGCCTGATCCAACATGGCTTCTCTTATGTTCTTATGCCTGGGGCAGTAATAATCTGTCTTCTTGGTGGTTGGGGGGCCACAGTGGGAGGGCTTCTGGAGTTCTGGACCCACTGGTGGACCTCCTAGTGGCACCTGGGTTTTGGCCCCTGTGTGACACAGAGCGTTGGACTGGATAGGCCATTGGCCTGATCCAACATGGCTTCTCTTACGTACTTGTACCTGGGGCAGTGATAATCTGTCTTTTTGGTGCTTGGGGGGCCACAGTGGGAGGGCTTCTGGAGTTCTGGACCTACTGGTGGACCTCCTAGTGGCACCTGGGTTTTGGCCCCTGTGTGACACAGAGCGTTGGACTGGATAGGCCATTGGCCTGATCCAACATGGCTTCTCTTACGTACTTGTACCTGGGGCAGTGATAATCTGTCTTCTTGGTGCTTGGGGGGCCACAGTGGGAGGGCTTCTGGAGTTCTGGACCTACTGGTGGACCTCCTAGTGGCACCTGGGTTTTTGCCCCTGTGTGACACAGAGCGTTGGACTGGATAGGCCATTGGCCTGATCCAACATGACTTCTCTTATGTTCTCCTCTTCCTCCCCAAATCTCCAGGAATTTCCCAAGCTGGATTTGGCAACCCTAGCTTCCCTTGGCTGTATCAATCCAGACCTGTTTTGAGCACCAAGAGGTGCAGTGCGTCGTCCCGCAGGTAGGAGGCAGCAGCGATTTCATGGGTGGGGATTCTCAAGATGAGCTCCTCGTTGTCCCGCCAGGTAAGGAGCAAGCAGCGCGCCGAAAGGCTGAGGATGCTGTCCTGCTCTGGGGTGGTCTTCAGCGGAAGCTCCTTCAGTTGCTGCAGGAGAGGCGGAGGAAAGGTGTTGGAGTTTCAAGTTGCTTACACTTCAGTCATTACAGAGTTAAGTGTTGTTTGTTAGGAAACAGGATGTTACGTCACATAATGTATTCTACAGCGGGAAAGTTTGTGGGAGTTGCTTAGCCTAATGAAGTGACCTTTGTATTGGTCAACTAACAACTTGCTTGTGGAAATGCTTTGATCTAGCATTCATGTATTCACAAGGTTTATGGCTCTTTGTGTGAAGCAGACAGGAAGCTCCCCTCTAGAAGCCAACACAGATAGAAAGATGTAGCTGTTAGCATTTAGTACTGAAAGTAACTGCAAGTATGTAACCTTTTGTTTTATTTCTTTTATCCAAAGTACCGTACCCATGCTTTATTTTGTTTTGTAGTCAAGATATTTTTTCTTTTACTAATGTGGCTCTTGTGTTTGCAAAACGACCATCGATCTTGAATCTCAGAATCCCAACAAAAGGCGTTAAGACTGGAGTCATATTCCTAGTCCCTGGAATGGGACTCAGAATGGAACAACCAGCCGTGTGGCCATCTCGTCTCCTCCCGCTGTGCCATGCACCTGAACAGATGAAGCTGCCTGATACTGAATCAGAACCTCAGTCCATCAAGGTCAGCATTGCCTACTCTGACTGGCAGCGGCTCTCCGGGGTCTCAGGCTGAGGTCTTTGACATCTCCTACCTGATCGTTTTAACTGGAGATGCCGGGGATTGAACCTGGAGCCCTCTGCGTCCCAAGCAGATGCTCTGCCAATGAACCACAGCCCCTCCCCTCAGCCCTGGGCAAGTCACCCTTCCCAATCCAGGAGACACAGAGAGGGCACCGTAGAAAGACCCAGGCAAGTCCCGGGCATCTCTAGTGAGTGAGTCAAGCCGCACAAGACAGGGGAAAAGCAGTAGAGCACCACCCCAGTCCAATGCTCCCGCTAAGCTGGGGAGACTTGTGAGCAAAAGTTCTCCTTGGTGAACTCCTGGCATTAAAGTGGTGAGCAAACAATTTGGCTACTGCAGAAATGAGTTTGCTCTGGAGCCGTCTGTCCTGAGCGGAGACAAATATCTGTGAGCTGGAGGCTGGAAAACTACGAGCTAGCTCACACCAGCTCATCTTAGAGGGAACACTGCCCCAGACCTCAGTTCCCAGTTTTGGTGTTGTACCTCCAGTTCTCTTTTCTGACCCTGGGCCCCCACGAATCCGAGAACCACCAGTGCGGGCCCTCCCATGTTCATGTTGTTTGTTAGTTGATAAAAAGGGGAGTGCCCTTCTGACCTAGTGTTGCCAACCTCCAGGTGGGGGCTGGAGATCTCCTGGGATGACAACTGCTCTCCAGATGAAAGATCAGTTCCCATGGAGAAAATGGCTGCTTTGGAAGGTGGACTCTATGGCACTATAGTCCACTGGGGTCCTTCGTCTTCCCAAACTTCTTCCTCCCCGGCGCCACCCCAAATCTCCAGGTATTTCCCAAGAGGGAGTTGGCAACTCTACCCATCACCTTTGAGTTCCAGGGCAGTTGGCTTACGGATTCCGGGAGACTGAACAGGAACCCTATTTCCCCATCATTCATGGTTATTAATGAAGCTATCCTCCTTAGATACTTCACATCAAACGACAGCATCCATTTCTGATGTTATTAGGCTAGGTCCGCGGGACTCTAATCTGGGAGAACCGGGTTTGATTCCCCACTCCACCACATGCAGCTGCTAGTGTGACCTGGGGTCAGTCACAAGTTCTCTCAAGAGCAGTTCTCAAAAGAACTCAGCCCCACCTATCTCAGAAGGGTGTCTGTTGTGGGCAGGGGAAGGGGGAAAAGATTGTAAGCCGCTGTGAATAGTGAAGGGCAGGGTATAAATCCAATCTCTTCTTCTCTTCTCCTGTGTGGGACAGGATGCTGGACTAGATGGACTATTGGTCTGATCCAGCAGGGCTCTTCTGTTGGAACCAGTGTTCCCTCTAAGCTGAGTTAGTGTGAGCTAGCTCACAGTTTTTTAGCCTCCGGCTCACAGATTTTTGCCTTGGCTCAGGAAGGAGGGCTCCAGAACACACTAATTTATGCAGTAGCCAAATCACCTGCTCACAACTTTAATGCCAGTAGCTCACAAAGTAGAATTTTTGCTCACAGGACTCTACAGCTTAGAGGGAACATAGGTTTATTTATTTATTTATTTTTCGTACTTATACCCCGCCCTCCCCCGAGGGCTCAGGGCGGCTTACAGAGGCAAGAACACTTGCCATGGTAAAACAATCATATACATAAAAATTTAAAACATATACTACATATTAAAATCTTAAGTTAAACCAGTGTTCCCTCTAAGCTGAGCTAGTGTGAGCCAGCTCACCGTTTTTTAGCCTCTGGCTCACACTTTTTTGCCTCAGCTCAGGAAGGAGGGCTCCAGAGCAAACTAATTTATGCAGCAGCCAAATCGCTCGCTCACAACTTTAGTGTCGGCAGCTCACAAAGTAGAATTTTTGCTCACAAGACCCCACAGCTTAGAGGGAGCGTTGGTTGGAACCCCTATTCTGTAGTACATATGTGGGAGGGAAGGTACGGCCCGATTTCGTCAGTTCTCAGAAGCGAAGCAGGATCAGTCCTGGTTAGTCCTTGGATGGGAGACCACCGAGGAAGACTCTGCAGAGGAAGGCAACGGCTTAACCACCTCTGCACCTCACTTGCCTTGAGAGCCCCTAGCTGGGGTTGCCATAAGTTGGTTGTGACTTGACAGCCCTCTTGCATGTACAGTATATACCCAGATCCTTTAACATTAACTTCGCACCCATTCATAACCCCTAACGCTGGTCCCAACCCTCTTTCTGGCGCAACATGTTCCGAGCACATGACTATTTGAACAGGACCAAACAAACTCCTGCCAACCTAGCAGTTCGAAAGCAAGACATTGCAAGTAGATAAATAGGGACCACTTCGGTGGGAAGGTCGCAGCGTTCCGTGCGCCTTGGCGTCTAGTCATGCCGGCCACATGACCACGGAAACATCTTCGGACAGCGCTGGCTCTTCGGCTTGGAAACGGAGACGAGCGCCGCAACCCTGGAGTTGGATTCGAGTGGCTTTCGAGCAAGGGGAACCTTGACCTTTTACCTTTTAAACTACACTGAAGTGCATCGTAGGATTACCCTGGCAGTATCCAGGAGCTGCAGCAGTTCTTCACGGCTGGAGGGATTCAAGGAAGCCGTCACCCAGGTCAGGTGGCCTAAAAACTGGAGAGGAAGAGAAAGCAGAAGGAGTCACCAGGGAGAGAAGATTAAGATGGTAGAGAGCAGGGGTCGTTTCGTAGAAAAAGAGCTAGGGGAACTCATTAGCATAACTCATTAGCATATGCCACACCCCCTGACATCACCGGAAGTGTGTCATAAGGCCACACCCCCTGACATCACCGCCGCCAGCCTTGCAGCTCCACTGCCAAGCCCCATGAGGGGCCCGGCGGTGGACCTGCAAGGCCGGCGGGAGTGCGAGGAAGCCCCGCGAAGGCCCTCCCTGGCCCCAGGCAGGCAGGGATGGGGAGAGGCAGGGAGGAAGCAACTTACCCTCCCTCTTCTCCTGCCTCCTCCTGGCTGAATGAGGGCCGGAAGCAGGGGGCGGCCGGAAGCAGGGGGCGGGGCTTCGTCATGTGCCCCGCCCCCCGTACCTCACCTGGGGGAACTGCGATCCCCCGCGATCCCCCCCCGAAATGACCTCTGGTAAAGAGGGGGGTGGGAATCTCTAAAGCAGGATTTTTCTTTTAAAAAAGTAACCTTATTCTGCTGGAAACCATCGACCAGATTCTCTAGTTCTAATCATCCAAACACGCAAGCGCGGACAGAAAGATCTTTGTGTGTATTACAGCAAATTTAAAGCTACTTTGATGTGCACTGATGGAAGTCTACAATTCATACACAAAAGGCAGACCACCTCTCCTGCTACAAGAACATGAGAAGCCATGTTGGATCAAGCCCAGTGGCCCATCCAGTCCGACACTCTGTGTCACACAGGGGCCAAAACCCACATGCCATCAGGAGGTCCAGCAATGCGGCCAGAACTCCAGAAGCCCTCCCACTGTTGCTCCCCCCTAAGCACCAAGAAAACACTTGCCCCAGACCGAGAGTTCCATCTATACCTGTGGCTGGGACAGGCAGCGGGTGCTCAGTTTGGTGTTCTGGTTAAGTGCGCGGACTCTAATCTGGGAGAACCGGGTTGGATTCCCCACTCCTCCACTTGCACCTGGCTGGATGGCTTTGGGCAAGCCATAGCTCTGATAACAGCTGTCCTTGAAAAAGAGCAGTTTCTGTCAAGAGCTCTCTGAGCCCCACCTACCTCACAGGGTGTCTGTTGTGGGGAGGGGAAGGGAAAGGAGTTTGTAAGCCGCTCTGAGACACCTTCGGGTAGTGAAGGGCAGGGTATAAATCCAATCTCTTCTTCTTCTTCTTTGTGGCTCATAGCCACTCATGTCTATTTATTTATTTATTTATCTATTTATTTATTTAATTTATATCCCGCCCTGCCCGCCGAAGCAGGCTGTTGAAACTATCCTTCTAGCTGCCACCACTTCCTGTGACAGTGAATTCCATCTGTTAATGACTCTTTGGGTGAAGAAGGATTTCCTTTTATCTGTTCTAAGCCTACGGCTCATTAATTTCATTGAGTGCCCGCCAGTTCTTGTACTGTGAGAAAGGGAGAAGATTAGTTCTTTCTCAACCTGCTCTATCCTGTGCATGATTTTGTAAACCTCTGTCACGTCACCCCTCAGTTGCCATTTCCCCAAGCTAAAGAGCCCTAACCCCTTACACCTTTCTTCATCGGGAAGGTGTTCCATTCCCTTAATGATTTCAGTTGCCCTTTTCTGCACCTTTCCCAAGGCTATAATATCTTTTTTTGAGGTGCGGTGACCTGAAGTGTACACAGTACTCCAAATGAGGCTGCACCATGGATGTATATAGGGGCATACTCCATCATCACAGGTTCATGAATCTAAGCAAAGCCCACAGGTCATTTCCTGCAGGAGCGCACAGGAGCGGAGCTCCGGCAGTAAAGAGCCCAGGGGATGGGCACATGCAACAAGCCCCGCCCCCTGCTCCCAGCAGCCCTCAGTCAGAGCAAGAAGCAGCCAGGTAAGTTGCAGAGTCCCCCCCCCCCGCCGGCCCAAAACAGTCCAGTGGCACCTTTAAGGCCAGGTTTTATTCAGGTACAAGCTCTCCCTCCTCTGCGAGGACAGATCTGCACTCCCCCCCCCAGTAGCTAGCAATCCAAAACAGTCCAGTGGAGCCTGAGCGGTGGGTGTTGCCTTCTGACACGCTTCCGGTGATGTCAGGGGGTGTGGCACATGCAAATGAGTTATGCTAATGAGTTATGCTAATGAGCTCCGTCGCCTCTTTTTCTACAAAATGACCCCTGGCAAAGCCTTCTCAGGGCGCCACCTGGCAAACGGGTGCCTGTACATGTTTGTTCTCTGCTGTGGTTCCCACCTTGAGAAATGGCCTGACTCGGAAGGTCACAAAGGCTCCCGTGCTATGTGCAAAACGTCAGTCTTCAGGAGGCCATTTTTATAAGGGAATCAGACTTGCAGTAAATGTAAGTCTAGGAGGGAGCTTTGGTAAGAGGAACAGGACTGCAGTCTATCGCAAGATTTATTGTCTGTATCATCTCACCTCTGCCGCACTGTCTTCGACCTTTGCAATCCATTTGGCATTGCGTATAGCAGGGGGCCCCAGCCTTTGAGAGTCTGCACTATCTTTGGCATTCTCACACAGTGCAGCAAGCACAGCCACAAAATGGCTGCTGCAGGAGGCAGGGGGTAAAGGTAAAGGTTCCCTTGCTCGAAAGCCTGTCGAATCCAACTCTAGGGGGCGGTGCTCTGTAATGCAATTCAGACACCATTTTGTTTGCCTGTTTGGGTTACTTGACCAAACTTTAGTCAAAGAGGATTCTGGGTCTGTGCTAGGCCTGGAATGTGCTATCAAAGTATGTTGGTGTAAATCTTGAAGGCGTCTCTTCGTCTCCTTGCGCCTAGAAGTCTCCTTAGAGACAAGGGACACACAGATAAGGGGAGAGTTATGTCCTTCACTCCCTAGCTCTCCCAGCTGCGAATACTTAGCAGTGCTGGCCTTGGAGGCCATTAATTAATTAGCAACATTCCCAAGTGATTGCACCTGTGTTGGGAGGGGAATCGGGTTATCTGTTGAATTTTAAGTTTCGATTCCCCAGAGCTCATAAACAAGTATTATGGGATATCTTGGTTACCTTGGATACTGGCAAGAGTGACATCACATTGCCCGGTCATGAATGGTTAACAGGCCTGAATCATTCATGCCCCCTTTTTCTATAAGAACCCTAGGTCTTGGTAACCAGGCAGGATTCTTTGGGGTCTCGGCCAAGCAGGCTAAGACTCCGAGCAACCCTCCATTATGCCTTGATACTTGGACTTACCACCTCGGTGGGGAGATGCAGTTTGGACTTATACTCTGTGTCTCAGGACTCTTTGCATCTCTGAACCTATTATGGGTAAAACCTGCTTGTATGCTGCTTGTAAGTATTAGCTATGCTGGAAATGCTTAGATTTTGTTATTTTGTTCCTTCACTACCTAAGTCTCGTGTTTTATAACTTTACACAATTTATTTAAATAAAGAAACTTATATTTTTACCTTGTCTGGGTGATTCAGCCTCAAGAGCTTCAAAGCCTAAATCTTGTGTCTCAGACTGCTAGGTCTTTCTACTACCAATTGTGTTTCTTGTTCAAGCCCTGTGGTGCAGACTGCAGAGCTTGTTCTTTGAATGGTGTTCCTGTGTTAAGCCTGGAGACTTCGGTTACTTTGCTCCAGTCTAGTTGGGAACCCTAAAAGTAACCTTGTGTTGGTTGTTCCTTGTACCCCAGGCTGAGGCCCTGGAGAGGACCCCGGTCAGGACATGCTCATCTCAGTTTCCAAGCCGAAGAGCCAGCGCTGTCCGAAGACGTTTCTGTGGTCATGTGGCCGGCATGACTAAACACCAAGGCGCACGGAACGCTGTTCCCTTCCCACCGAAGCGGTCCCTATTTATCTACTTGCAGTTTCTTGCTTTCGAACTGCTAGGTTGGCAGGAGCTGGGCCCAGAGATGGGTGCTCACTCCGTCACGCGGCCCTCGGGTCTCGAACTGCTGAACGACCGACCTTCCAACCTGCAGTTCAGCGTCTTAACCCCTCGAGCCACCGCAGAGCCAGCCACAAAATGGCCGGCACGAGCCACCCAGTGAAGGTCCTTGCACTGTGACGGCCGCTGCTGCCAAAGCAACGTTTCAAAAAGTCTGCACAGCCAATCAAATCTCGAATGGCCGATCAGAAGCCTCGCTGGGCTAAAGCCCCACCCGCTTTCTAAAAATATTTGGCGGGTACCAAGAAAACTGTCGGTGGATGTCATGGCACCCCTGGCCACCGTGTTCGGGACCCCTGGGTTATACTATGTCATGCCTTAGGCAGTGTTTGCATCGTTTCCTTACTTCTGCAATCCAAGTCCAACGGCATCGTCGCCGGGTGTCTCGTGCTGTCTGAATGAACTCTATATTTTGCAGGGCTTTTTTTTGCGGAAAAAGCCCAGCAGGACCTCATTAGCATAATAGGCCACACCCAACAGCAGAAACCTATTAGCATATTAGGCCACACCCCTGACAGCACAACTCATTGGCATATTAGGCCACACCCCCATGTTACCAGAAGGGTGCTCATCCAGCCACACCCACCTTTCCCTTCTTATTCTGTTTACCTTGTTAGTTGTCAAAACCTTTTTTGTAGCAGGAACTCCTTTGCATGTTAGGCCACACACCCCTAATGTAGCCAGTCCTAATGAGTTCCTGCTGTTGGGTGTGGCCTATTATGCTAATGAGTTCCTGCTGGGTGTGGCCAACTTGGAAGCCAGCCGGAACTTCTGTGCGTTCCTGCCCAAAAACAGCCCTGATATTTTGTAATCTGCCTTGATTGCTCGGTGAGAAAGGCACCTTGGAGGTCCTTGTGAGGGCAGGAAGGTGGGATATCGACTTTGGAAAATAATACATAAAGTAAATTTAAAAAATAATAAACCTGAAGTTTAGGCTTAAAAACACGAGTAACAACAGTTTAGTGCTTAGATGATACTTCTGGAGTATTCAAATCAAAACACTTTATCTAAACATAGCCCGCACAACTGCCCAGCAAGTACAGCCTACTATACAGAGAGTGATTAAAATGTGGAGGAGGAGGAGGGAAAAGAAGAAGCAGAAGATGAAGAAGACAAAGAAGAAGATGAAGACGATGAAGAAGAAGAATTGGTTTTATACCCTGATCTTCAAGTGAAGGCCTTGGACTCTCTGCCCTGTTGTTGGCCATTCAGAGGAACTGGTTGGCCAGTATGTGGAGAGGATGCTGGACTGGATGGACCACTGGCCTGACCCAGCAGGGCTCTTCTGATGCTCTTATGGAGGACTCGGCCTCTCTGCCCTGTGGTTGACCCTCCAGAGGAACTGTTTGGCCCCTGTGTGAGGCAGGATGCTGGACTAGAGGGACCCTCACTGGCCTGACCCAGCAGGGCTCTTCTTAGGTTCTTATGAAGGCCTCGGCCTCTATGCCCTGTTGTTGGCCATCAAGAGGAACTGGTTGGCCACTGTGTGTCACAGGATGCTGGACTGGATGGACCACTGGGCTGATCCAGCAGGGCTCTTCTTATGAAGGCCTCGGCCTCTCTGCCCTGTTGTTGGCCCGCCAGAGGAACTGGTTGGCCCCTGTGTGAGACAGGATGCTGGACTAGATGGTTCTCACCACCCTGAACAATTTCATGTCATCCGCAAATTTAGCTACTTCACTGCTTACTCCCAACTCCAAATCATTAATGAACAAGTTAAAAAGCATCGGACCAAGTACTGATCCCTGCGGTACCCCACTGCTTACCACCCTTCACCACTTACTCACTCTAAAAACTGACAAAGAGAAAATTGCCCATTTATACTCACTCTAAAGCTGACAAAGAGAAATTTTTATCTCCCCAAATACTAGATCTGGAGGGCATCCGATGAAGCTAATAGGTGATTAAAATGTGGAACTGGCTGCCAGAGGATGTAGTGATGGCCACAGGAATAAAATGGCTTTAAAAGGAAATTAGATAGATTCGTATAAAGTAACCCTATCAGTGGCTACTAGCTATGGGGACTGAGGGGAACCTCCACATTCAGAAGCAGTAATCCTCTGGATCTCAGAGCCAAAAAGTAACATCAGCGGACGGCCTCGGCCTCTATGCCCTGTTATTGGGCATCCAGAGGAACTGGTTGGCCACTGTATGAGACAGGATGCTGGACTAGAGGAACCACTGGTCTGATCCAGCAGGGCTCTTCTGATGTTCTTACAAAGGCCTCAGCCTCCCTGCCCTGTAATGTTGGCCCTCCTGAGGAACTGGTTGGCCACTGTGTGAGGCAGGATGGTGGACTAGATGGACCCTCACTGGTCTGATCCAGCAGGGCTCTTCTGATGTTCTTATGAAGGCCTCGGCCTCTCTGCCCTGTTGTTGGCCCTCCAGAGGAACTGGTTGGCCACTGTGTGAGGCAGGATGCTGGACTAGATGGACCCTCACTGGTCTGACCCAGCAGGGCTTTTCTGATGTTCTTATGAAGGCCTCAGCCTCCATGCCCTGTTGCTGGCCCTCCAGAGGAACTGGGTGGCCACTGTGTGAGATGGGATGCTGGACTAGATGGACCCTCACTGGTCTGACCCAGCAGAAGGCTCTTCTGTGGTTCTTACCCCCTCCTGCAAATGGCAAGAGTCGAGTTCATTGCAGAGCTGTTCCACGCCGGGTCCCAGAAACAGCCACTCTTTATCCCTTTGCCCGCCTTACCTTCACCTCCTTTTCCACGTAGTCATGTAGGAGGATGTGGGGGTCGATGAGATAGTCCGGGGGGTACAGCGGGACAGAGTGCAGAGGGCGCCGACAGATGGGGTTCTTGAAGGCCTGCTTCCGAGCCGCCTTGGGGAAAACCAGCCTTTTGATGGGAGACACAAACCCCTAAAAAGGGGGGAGAAACAGGAGAAGGAGGTGGGTCAGTTTAGAAAAGAGACAACTAAGCGGGGGTGGGGGGGCGATGATACAGGTTCATAAAATCACACACGGGACAGAGAAAGGGGACAGGGGGAGCCTTTTCTCCCTCTCCCAAAATGCTGGAACTGGAGGGCATCCAACGAAGCTGACGGGCAGTAGGTTCAGGGCGGAGAAAAAGAAATTGTTAAGTCGCGAACTTAACAAAGAGTCGGAGAGTGATTCAGCAAGAATGTGGCTTTTATTCTTCAGCTTCGTTACTTCTCCAACACGGTACAACAATCGCCAGCCAGAACCCATCGAAGTTCATACACTGGCTGCTCTGTATTTAAACATTCCCGGCTAATGTAGCCACACCCACTGAACAAATAACAACCTATCAGGTTGAAGGGATAATGGCCAATCACAAGCGATCCCACTCTGCGAGGTGATTGGATGACACGTCCTGGGCTAGTGCTCCTATTGGTTACATTAGGATCCTAGCCCAGGCTGAAGCTTAACATGAGATGGCAATGAGCTGGTTCACAAACATAGGCATTCAATGTTAGCTATTGAATACACTACAGAAATACTTCTTCACGCAACCAGCGACTAAAATGTGGAATTCGCAGCCAGAGGGTGTAGTGATGGCCACAGGCATAGATGGCCTTAAAAGGGGATTAGACAGATTCGTGGAGGAGAGGTCTGTCAGTGGCTGCTAGCCATGGTGACTGAAGGGAACCTCCATGTTCGGAAGCAGTCACCTCTGAATCTAAGTGCCAGGAGCCAACATCAGGGGAAGGCCTTGGTTTTCTATGCTGTGTTGGTGGCCCTCCACAGGAGCTGGTTGGTGTCAGACTCGGGCATTTGACCCACTGTACCTGTTGTATTTCCAACCCAGTGCAGTCACACCTGTCCTGTTTCAGTATAATCATGCTCTGTGTATCCCATTCACTCCCTGCTCCCAACCATTTGTTAGTTTGGTGTAGTGGTTAAGTGTGCGGACTCTAATCTGGGAGAACCGGGTTTGATTCCCCACTCCTCCACTTGCACCTGGCTGGATGACCTTGGGCAAGCCATAGTTCTGATAAGAGCCGTTCTTGAAAAAGAGCAGTTTCTGTCAGAGCTCTCTCAGCCCCGCCTACCTCACAGGCAATGTTCCCTCTAAGCTGTGGAGTCTTGTGAGCAAAACTTCTTCTTTGTGAGCTACTGGCATTAAAGTTGTGAGTGAGTGATTTGGCCACTGCATAAATTAGCTTGCTCTGGAGCCATCCTCCCTGAGCTAAAACAAAAATCTGTGATCTGGAGGCTAAAAATCTGTGAGCTAGCTCACACTAACTCAGCTTAGAGGGAACACTGCTCACAGGGTGTCTGTTGTGGGGAGGGGAAGGGAAAGGAGTTTGTAAGCCGCTCTGAGACACCTTTGGGTAGTGAAGGGCGGGGTATAAATCCAATCTCCTCCTCCTCCTCCTCCTTGATTCCAGGCATACTAAAAAGACAAAACTCCAAGACTGCTGCCTGGTTTTAAAGCATGCAAACACCACACTCAAACACACCCCACTCCCAAGGACAGGCTGTTTACATTACACTACTTTTCAACTGGTCAACTCCAGGATCCTGGTCAGCTATTGTTCTGGAGGAACAAGCTCAACCAGTTCCAGGTATTGCTTCAGGCTCAATACATAACTGCCCCAAACTAGCCAGGAGAAAAACGGCCCGTCCTTTGAATACAGACTCCGTTGGGTAGTGAAGGGCGGGGTATAAATCCAATCTCCTCCTCCTCCTCCTCTTGTTGTTGTTGTTGTTATTTCTGCATCTTTATCACTTGCCCTCACCTGCCATTGCATTCCTGGGGGTGGGGGAGTGAATGTCTGTAGAGTTTAGGGAGGCTAGCTTCGGTCATTCTTCCATGGCGCCTCAAAGACATCTTTTCACACGGGAAGTGTCCTTGAGCAGAGTCTGTGTTTGGCTAGTGATAGACCGTATATCTTTCACGGTCTTTGTAATATCGCTGACGTGTATGAATGGAATTTGAGGGTTGCAATTATACGCTGCTTTCCCTCCTTTGCCCCTCAGACAGAGTCTGAACCCATGAGCATCTCAAATCTCTACATAAACCTTTCACTAAAGAAAGCGTGTGTGGAGAGTGATTTGACTGGGAACCTGACAGATTGTGTGAGACAGGATGCTGGACTAGATGGACTATTGGTCTGATCCATCAGAGCCAGTTTGGTGTAGTGGTTAAGCGTGCAGACTCTAATCTGGGAGAACCGGGTTTGATTCCCCACTCTTCCACTTGCACCTGGCTGGATGACCTTGGGCAAACCCAAGTTCTGGCACAGCTGTTCTTGAAAAACAGCAGTTTCTGTCAGAGCTCTCTCAGCCTCGCCTACCTCACAGGGTGTCTGTTGTGGGGAGGGGAAGGGAAAGGAGATTGTACGCCCCTCTGAGACATCTTTGGGTAGTGAAGAGCGGGGTATAAATCCAATCTCTTCTCTTCTCCTCCTCCTCCTCCTCCTCCTCCTCCTCCTGAGGTTCTCTTGCCAGGTGCTAGAGCCTCCGCTCATCCAACAACAGAGAAGAGTTGAAGAAAATGGATACTAGTTGGTGGAAATATTGCCAGTTGCCCAAAATGCCTCCGTATCGACCGGGGTGGCCAAACTTGCTTAACGTAAGAACCACACAGAATAAACGTCAGATATCTGAGAGCTACAAGGCATGAACAAATATATAACCTACATGTTTTTAGTGGAAAATATTCAAATTTGCTTTTTATGAACATTAAATGAGACTGCCAAAAATAAAAGCAGAAGGGGTAAAAACAGGTATTGATAATGATCAGGGGTCATTTCCTGGGTGTTGCCTTCTGACACCTTGCACCTCTTTTTCTACGAAATGACCCCTGAGATATTTAACTTTCGATGGGGAGGGAGGGAGGGAGGAGATGGGGGGAGGGAGAGGTGGAAAGAAAGCAAGGGGAAGGGAAGACCAACCGGGGAGGGATTCCTCCCCTTCACTTCCCCAACCGCCCTGCCTGGAGCCGCACAATATGTGTGAAAGAGCCGCATGTGGCTCCCGTGCCACAGTTTGGCCACCCCTGGTATAGACTCTTCTGCATGCAGATGGCGGCACAGATGCTCTGCCAGAAAAGCCAAATTTCTTGTGTCGAGACAATTTTTAAAAAGCACAGCCCCATGGCCTAAATTCAGCACACTGGCATGGAATTGTCACTCTACAGGCTTTATTTCTGCTTGTGTTTGCAAAGGGAAGCACGTGGAAAGTGGCCCCCTCTGACCTTCATGCCGTCCGTGTGGGATTTCTCCCAGAGTCCATCCGGACATTTCCCCAGATTCTCTCCACGAGCAAAACGGTGAGAAAACGAGCAAGGAAGTCCGGCACACTTTGTAGAGGTCTGCTTGTATCCTGTATGGATGGAGGACACAGGTGTACATAGAGCAGGAGATGCTCTGAATTCTGGTGTCCTGGCCCCACTGCTGGACCTCCTGAGGGCACCTGGTATCTTTGGCCACTGTGTGACACAGAGAGTTGGACTGGATGGGCCATTGGCCGGATCCAACATGGCTTCTCTTATGTTCTTATATGGAGCAGAGGTCCATCCGTGGCTATTAGCCACAAGGTATACATAGGAACTCTTGGTCTGGGGCAAGTGATGCTCTGTCTTCTGCTGTCCTGGCCCCACTGCTGGACCTCCTGAGGGCACCTGGTATCTTTGGCCACTGTGTGACACAGAGAGTTGGACTGGATGGGCCATTGGCCGGATCCAACATGGCTTCTCTTATGTTCTTATATGGAGCAGAGGTCCATCCGTGGCTATTAGCCACAAGGTATACATAGGAACTCTTGGTCTGGGGCAAGTGATGCTCTGTCTTCTGCTGTCCTGGCCCCACTGCTGGACCTCCTGAGGGCACCTGGTATCTTTGGCCACTGTGTGACACAGAGAGTTGGACTGGATGGGCCATTGGCCTGATCCAACATTGGCTTCTCTTATGTTCTTATGAGTACTAGTTATTGTTTTTTAAGCATAAAGGTTGTCATTAGAACCTCTCTCTCTCACTCACTTTTTTTTTTGCTGTCAAGTTATCGCTGACTTATGGCGACCACACGCTGTTTTCAAAGCAAGAGATGATTGGAGGTGGTTTGCCCTTGCCTGCCTCTGCAGAGGGACCCTGAACTTCCTTGGTGGTCCCCCATCCAAGTACTGACTGGGGCTGAAGCCCTGCTTAGCCCCTGAGACAGTAAGAGCCCGGTCCAGCCTCGGGCACCCAGGTCAGGGCAGAGACCTTCAGAGGTGGAGTGCCATTGCGTGGCAGCCCAGGACTTCATTGGTGGTCTCCCATTTAAAATACTAACCGGGGCTGACCCTGCTTAGCATCCCAGATCAGATGAGATGAGGGCAGATGAACAGAGGTGGTTCGCCACTGTCTTCCTCTGAAAAGCAGACCTGAACTTCTTTGGTGGTCTCCCATCCATTTACTAACCAGGGCCGACCCTGCTTAGCTTCCGAGGTGGGGTATAAATTATATATATATATTCTATTATTATGATTGTTGTTGTTGTTGTTACCAGTCTCTCTAGTTATACATCTGAATGGTCTAATATATGATATGATGATGATGAAGACGACGACACTGGATTTATACCCCGCCCTTCACTTCCCAAAGGTGTCTCAGAGCAGCTTACAAGCTCCTTTCCCTTCCCCTCCCCACAACAGACACCCTGGGAGGTCGGTGGGGCTGAGAGAGCTCTGGACAGAAACTGCTCTTTTTCAAGAACAGCTCTTATCAGAACTATGGCTTGCCCAAGGTCATCCAGCCAGGAGAAGAAGAAGAAGAAGAAGAAGAAGAAGAAGAAGAAGAAGAAGAAGAAGAAGAAGAAGAAGAGATGGGATTTATACCCCGCCCTTCACTACCCAAAGGAGTCTCAGAGCGGCTTACAAACTCCTTTCCCTTCCCCTCCCCACAACAGACACC